GCGTGATTCATCGTGGACATAAGTCCGATGATGCTCAGTCATTTTGCGGTCACAACCATTCGACGTACAGATCGAGTCTTTGCTGAGACATAGATCTTCAATATACTGACCCAGAGTACAGTCAGGATCCATGCTGCCACTTTGGTCCATGTGCTCGTCGTAAAACGCAATGGCAATTAGTCCAGGCTCAGCACACGGAATCTTTGTCTCGGTGCAGATGACAGAGTACAGGACAACAATGTTCTGGTGAGAATAAGGATCGAATAAATCAAGGTTCCCTTGGATGTAATTCTCCCATTGTCGTGTCTGTGTCTGGTAGTTGTGAAGCGCCTTGTCGTACTCAGCATCGTGAACGGCATGAAGTACCTCCATAATCTGCCGAGGCGCCTTCTGGCCGATTTCATGGACCATCTCAGGCTTGATGAGCTGAAACTTCTGTGATCTCTTCTCAGAATCTGCCTGTTCCTCAATGACGTCTTGGTCCCGTAGACGCTTGAGATACACTAGCCTCCGCTCTTGTTCTCGCGCCTTCATCAACAAGTGTGGCTGCGCAAATCGTACAAAAGGGGAAGCAGATAGGATCTTGGTTTCGTATCTGGCTACCATATCGCTGTAATAGGTCGGCATTGGGACGTCCTCAGGTACGTGCGTGTCGGCAGCTTCAGTGGCAACATGCGAGGCATGGAGAGAGACAGTCCGTACGGGCTCCGCCGGTCGCTGCTCTTCCGTTTGATCAGAGTGCGTTCCTGCTGATCCGGTAAAAGAAACACTCTGACTTGTCTGCGACGGCGGCTCAGACTCCATTGGGGATGTCTGGGATGCAGTCGATCCAAGTCGGCCCGTCTCGCCTGACATGCTCATTGATCTTGAGCTGTCATCGGTTTGCGGACGAATAGATGATTGTAGGGACGGGAGCTCGCCCTCTGATGGCAACTGAATGAATTCATCCCGCATGAGACACGTTTCGAGCTTCAGGTTGTAAACCACATATACCATGAACTCGGTAATCTTCTTCATCCTGGCGAGGACTTGAGTTGAGTCTCCGCGCAAGGCTATCGTGCACCCCAGCTGTTCGGCGCAACCCGAGAGGAAGATGTAGGTCTTTTTTTTCCCAGGATAGCTTTTATTGACATAGGTCTTCACTTCAAAACCAGCTGATCGGCCGGCCTGGTTCTGAAGGGCCAAGCGATCGAGAGAAGTGATGATGTCGGTCTCGGCACATCTTGACACGGCCGATGTGACAGATGGCTTGACATTGTAGGCCACGGCAATATTGGCTTCGGCTAGATATTGCAAAGCAACACCTGAAACGCCCTTCTCGCACAACAGCACATCAGGTCGCAAGTTGATGATGCGGTTTACCACAACTCTCAGATACTCTTTTTCTTGCTCGATAACAGGCTGTAAGCTCATGAAATGTTGGTGATGGCGCTGATACTCGATTGCGAAGGACACAATAACGATGCGTGGATTGACAATCCGGCGTGGCATGCTTTTGAGGGCCAAGTTCTTGGTGAATATGACGCCAGATACATAACTGGTATCTCCTGGTTTGCCGCCAGGAATCTTTTTGAGCTTGACGTAGTGGCGGATGTCCATGTCATCGCCGGCGCGAATATCAGGCACAACATCGTCAGTGCATTGAAGCAGAATAGGAATCAGTGCCTTCTCCCAAGCAGAGGCGTTGGGTACTTTAGAATCTTCCAAAAGTTGATGGAGTAACTTTCTCACATGCAGCATGCTGGAAGAGTTGAGCTCAACCTGCGGTTCCTTATCTTCTTCCTGCATCGAGTCGCTACGAGTGAGCTTTGTTGCCTCGATCGCTGGATTCTCTGGCGAGAAAATAGTATCATTAGATATAGTAGGTCCTTTGAGCGCGGATGATTTTGGTCTCGGGGAGCGAAGATAATGTACGTTGCCGCTCACGTTGCTGAGATTGCGCCGGCGAGATGATCGTATATGACCAGCAAGACTGCCAAGACCGGTATCGTCGGGGCCGCCGCGACTGGTGAAGCTGATGCCGCTGAGACTTTTCTCTCCTCCTCGGAAGCGATGCTTTCTAGTCGCGCCGATGAACGAGCCAAAGTTGCTCTTCTCCCGATCAAAGCTTGAAGGTTGCAGATCGCTGTTCGACATGGTTGCGAACATGCTCATTTGCTCGTCTCCACTTGATTCGTCTGACATGTAATCTGCCAGTTCTGGGTCGATAATGTTGTCTTCGTGAAATGCCGGATACTTCTGTTTGCGCGTCATCTCCTCGTTAACGTCCTTGCGGAAAGGAGCAGTATTGTCCGGAATGGGCTTGAATCTCGACCAGAAATTTTGTCTCGAGTGGTGTCTTCGGTGGCCCAGACCTGATGATTGAGGCCTTGCTGCATTGAGTGACTTGAGAGATCGGGAGGAGCTGGGTCTACTGAGTTGCGGGGCGTCGATTTCCAGGATGGCTGATCTCCGATTCGAATCGTCGATTCCAATCCTTCTGGTCGCTGGGATGGCCATCATTGGCGTTGATATAGATCTGGCATCGTCGAGATCCTCCATCCTACCAGCAAAGCTTGTCTCTTCGCCTTCCACATCGACTTCTGTCACCTCGGCCTCAGCCTTGGCATGGTTCGGACGGAAGATGGCAGGCAAGAAAGAGTCGTCCCCTGAGTCGTCCGAGGCACTGTCTTCGACTTGGTTGAGTACCTTGAGACATGGTTTGCAGAGCCTCAAAGTCCCCGACATGGCAAACATTTGGGCTGAAATGATCGATGTGCATTTCGAGTCAAAGATGAAACCGCAAACTCGACAATGATGCTTTCTCCGAAATGCAGAAAACGGCTGCTGGCAAGAGTAACATTCCTTGCAGGTCTCGTCGGCCATCCAGAATTCTTTGCTCAGAATCTGCTTTCGCATCAATCCGAGTTTCGTATTGACCTCTTCTGGAGCTCCCTCATTTCTTGTCGTACCAGGAATGCGCATGGCCCCAGATCTCATCTGTTGAGGCCTCGACTCGTGAGAAAATGATTCATGGTATATCGGGGTGTGCGCCGAGGTGCTGACTGGGCTGGGCTCTGCGGTTCCCTGGTCCATCGAAGAAGTTCTCGAGTGAGCATAGGCCGGAGACCGAGAACGTGTGATTCTATTGATCACCGCGGGCCGCCTTGGGGCTGATAGTAATGAGCCGCCAGAAGGAGTTCGCACGTGGCGCAGGTCAGTCTTTAAAGAGGGCAGAGATGGTGTGACGGATTTTGTCGGGCTCAGAGGTGTGTCAACACTGCCATCCACGCTGACCACGTCATCTTTTCGTGAACGATTGGTACTTTGGCTTTGCGCTCGCTCAGAGGTGGCCTTGAAGTCTTCATAAAGGCTGGCATTCTCTGCTGCGAATATCGGCCCACGCGCATCCGACTTGCTGATGCTACGTCTTCCAGACGACCGCAAAAGAGTATCCTCTGACCGAACAGTCTGCTGACTAGGGTCTCGGTGCACAGAAGCAGGTGCGACATCGGGTGTAACTGCAGTGACAGCCGATGCTTTGGGCATGCTCACAGCAGCGGGTCTGCTCGAAGTGGTAGATCTAGAGGCCGTCATGACAGACATGGCGGTTGATTTAGTAGACATGGGAGTCTGTAGAGGACTGTCTGCTTCGGGCAGGACGGCTCCAGAACTAGAGAGGCTGGTGAGGAGACCATCGGATGGCAGGACCGAACTCGAGCTTGTGCCGGCAGTTTCGCCGCGGTGAAGTGACGCCGTTATTGGTTTGGGAGCCGTGTTTGTAGTTGACGAGCTTTTCTTGGAAGCAATACTGGGGGTGTCCTCGTCCACGTCCGGCATCCTCAAAGGAGCACCTCCCACAGCCTCCTTCAATCTGTTGTACAGCCCACTGAAGCCATTTTGGACCAAGTCCCCGGCGAGTCCCTTATTTTCGGCAATCGGCAAGGTAGATGGGGGTGGACCGAAGTCGTTGAAGGTCGTCAAGGTGTCACTTTGACTGGCAGAATTATGTATCTTGTTAAGGGTTTGGGCTAGCTGCTCTTTGTCGACTTGTGAAGTAGTCGATATCGAGGCCACAGAGTCGCGTCGAGGCCGTCTCAGGTCGGGGAGTGCCAACGCCAAACTGGCGGGCGACGAGGGGTTGTTATTGGGAGCCATGTCGACTGGATCGCGGGCAGTCAAAAGGTCGAGCGTGTTGAGGTCATGTTTGATTTCTCATGGCGACAAGGTGCTCGAAGAAACTGAGAGAGTGTATCGCAGAACAGACGACTCCCTGTTTATGGACCAGTCGTAGGAGCGGTAGCGTCGCGAAGCGGTCTGTCGTGAGATTCGGTGATCTAAGTACTCAGGTACAAGACAATGACAATGCCTGGTCTCTCGATGGTATGAGGATGACGAAAGAAACGAGGCGCTTGTTCGTGGAATGTGGCCGTCAGTTGGTGTTCTGTGCTGTCTTAACCTGCGACGAAGATCTTCAGTCTGTGTTCGCGTCGCTTTGTGAGCCAGGGTGGTGGCGGCTTGTTGTCAGCATCGATCTCGAAGAACATGTACCAAGGCAGCAGCATCCCTGAGCCGCCAGGTTGAACGAACCCCGGTTACAGGAGCGACGACACTACCACCTTCGGGTGCGTGGGCCGGGAGTCATGGGCCAGTAATCTGATGGAGGGAACGTGCTCTGCAGAGCTTAGGTCATGGGAAGCTTGGGCCATGAGGGGTGAGCACCAAGAGATAAACCCCGCGGCGCTTTGGCTTCAGCCCAGTCATCAGCCACACGGCAGACAATACTGACACCCGAAATACCCATGACATGGTAACAGTTACAGTGGACAAAGTGGGTCCACCAGACGCGACGCGACCGAAAGCTTGGCCCAACCATCGTGTCGTCCAGCGATCTCCATATTCGATCGTTTGGCATTAGGGTCCAAAAGATAATTCAACAGACAAGCGACAGCATCCAAGCTGGTTGAATCAGTCGTGATGCTCAGCATTTCTTCGGGGTTGAACCAGTCAGCTCCAGGATCATGGCCTCTTCCCGGTCCCACTCGTCGTCGCGACCTCCAGTTTCTTCCTCCGGACGCAAGCAACGAGGCCCGGCCCTCTCGATGAACCTCTTTCGCATACCCAAAGATCAACAAGAACTTTTGGAGCGGCCAGATGCTTGGGCGGAAAGCTCTGCGAGCAACAACATCGGTTTGGTCAACATCCCTCCCCATGTGCTGGAATCTCTAAGGTACTTCGAATCTTCCAGGGTCCTGCCACCTGGGGCGCAAAAGCCACTATCGCCAGGCGCTTCGGCACCTAAGAGCACAGCCGAAGCGAACAAGGTTGGCGGTGGGTCAGCAAAAGAGCCCGACATCGATGAGGAAGATGGCAGTGAAGCAGAAAGCAACGCGTCGGGTGTATCCTGGTCACCAAGTCCGCCTCCACCACAGGTTCATAAAGCCCAAAAATCTGTCGACCGCAGTGACGGCCAGAGCCAGGCCGAATCTCCTGCTAGATCTGTACCTCTCCCAACCTCATCACCCTCGTACCGAAGACGGCGGTCCCCGAAACCAAATACGCTTGAAAGGCAGGTGGTTGCCAGCACGGCCTCGAATGAGAACCCGCATGCCGTTTTCCAAACACAAGCGCCGTTGTTCGACGTGGGATCTACTTCATCTCCCGTAAAATCTAACAACACAATGCTCGAGTCACCAGAAAAGGCTCAGGTCCAGTCAAGCCCCATTCTGACACGAGCGCACCAGGACCTGCCACCTGCTTCATTCCCACCCAGCAGCCTCGACCATGAAGATGACATGGAAATGGAAATACCAGGGGCATTACTCCACGCCACACCTCCAATCAACAAGATATCGGCGCGAATCAACGCGTCCCAAGGCATTGTCCTGGACACGCCGCCTCCATGCGGACAAGGCAGCGCCGGCCGGCTAACTTCTGCTTCCGCCGGGACACAAGCCAAAAGCGCGAATCCACCCAGACAACGCTGGAAGATTCTTCAATTCAGTGACGGCCCTGATGTTCCCGCTTCTGCCACGATCAGCGATACACCAGCGACGGTAGCCAAGACACAACTGCCAAAGCGCATCGAGCATGACCACGGGCAAACTTCTTCAGCAGGCATCATTACCTCTACATTTCCGAATACGGAAGTGATGCAGGGCCAACATCTGCCATCCACTGCCGGGCAAGGTTCATCCGGGATACCTACCCCCCAAGTGCGCACTACTGGCTTGTCGTCAACAGCAAACCAAGAAGCTTATGAAAGAGCGCAAACGGAAACACATCAACGACATCAAGTCTTGTCTGCAAGCATTGCGGGCAAACTAGTCCACGACTTTTCAGCACAGCCAACGACTGATTCATTCACTGACGGGCCCGACTTCAGAGAGCGGTTCCTGCTAGAGCCTCTCGAAACGTTCCAGTCAGCGTATCGGTCGTTCGACGGTAGCCTGGGAGACTTCGTTAGAGCCTGCGTCTCCCTCAAAAGCCTCCGCCGCGAAAGGAGACTCCCTGTGTTTTTGTACGATGACTTTGTGCGCGTCTTCTGCGACGACTACATCCAGTACGTTTCTGAGACCGACGAATCTCGCCCCATGTATGCCATGGAGTGGTACGTCGACAACGTCAGCAAACCGATTTACCAGAAAGGCGTTTTAACCAAGGACAATATCGACCGGGTGCTGAAAATGTATCCCGATGAGTACAATGCCATCCGAGAAGCCCTGGGCCTGTCTCATTCACATACACCAATGACGACTGCTGGCGATCGATCATTCTTCATGGATGTTGATCCTCTGGAGCCTCCTTCTATAGGGCAGCAGCCTGTTGACGCATCGGTGAAGACGAGCAGCGATGTCCTGAGAAATTTGCGAACATCTGACGTTGCCGTCGATGTCTCCCCCTCGCCCTTTCCGCGAAGACTCATTTCAGACCGGTCGGCAGACTCCGGAACTGAAGCATACGTTTCGGCAAGCGAGAACCCACTGTCTGGAGTTGAAAAAACGCCGGCTCGTCCAAGCCGTGACTGTCGCTCACCTTCCGCAGACGTTGTGATTATTTCAAGTGTCAAAAAAACGGTGGCTGCGAAGTCCACGCCAAGGCAGCGGGACCGTCGTCGATCGCCGTACCCAGAAGACATACCTGGACGAAGTAGCCCAGGGTTGATAGCGGCCGCTACCCCTCCACAGCAGGCCCACCATGTCGATGACGGAGGGCCAAGCACGAGCCGATCGAAGGGCAAGGCGTCCCTCCGATATTCCCTGGATGGCAGAGGCCAGACAAACCCGCCCGTTTCACAACGCGCAACTCTCTCGCGGCAGAGCCTACCGCCCCAGAGACACCACACGACGACGGTGAGTGGGCTGGATCGAGCCGTGGAGCCACTGCCGACTCATGAAACTCCCGAACGACCACAGACGGTCGCTGCCAAGCCGCGCGCCCTGCCCCGCAGCTTCTCGTCCCGCGGGACAAAGGCACGGCCACAGACGCCGCACGCCAATAAGCCGGCGGACTCAGCAGCGAGGTCCAGAGAGACGCAGGTGGCGTCCGGATCGCGCCCGTCGAGCAGCCGCCCTTCAGCGTCCCGCCTCCCAACGTTGACTCAGGAGAGCGGGGTTTCGAAACAGAAGAAGCAGTCGGCTCGAGCCGAGCAGTACCGGCTCAAACTCGAGAAACTGAAGGCCGCGGGGCGTTTGCCGGGCATGGCGGGGTCGAAGGCCAGTCATTCTTGATGAGACAAGGGAACTTGCGGCAGACGCCTGGAATTGCCAGAAGTTGGGCGCACAATTTCTCGAAATTTAGTTATGAAGATACCCCCTCCGTATGAACTCGGGAGTTCCGTCTCCCTCGTTGGAAAGCATGGCAGCAGAAATCAGACATTACTCATGACAGACAACCAGCTTTTTACTTAACAGACCCCCCTTTGTGAATCTCCCGTTCCCACTGCTACGTGTTCTACTCGGTGGGCGATTCATCGTAAAACCAAAAAGCGGATAAGTCTATTTTTTTGCTTTGCCTGGGCAGCCAGTGTAAGTGTAGCCTGGATCTAGTGCGAGTTGCACAACCTGCTCCCCGAGGAGTCTTTGCAGCGGTTATCTAAGCCCCCGAAAACGTATCTGTTTGCCTTAATCTTACTGCAGTCTGTGTCTCTGCCAAATTGAACCAGGGTAGGGAGCTCTTTTTGCACAAATTGTCCGTGTCAGAAGTCGAGAAAGAGAGGAAGCCAGACAGGAAGAAAGATGAAAAAAAGGAGGGAAGATAAGGAGAGAGAAAAAAAGAAGAAGAAAGGCCCCAAGAAGAGGATATCATAGCCCTGCGCCGTTGTATCATGTGCAATTTCGTATTGTTTCGTCATGCCCGATTCCGCCCTCCCAGTCACCGCCAATTCCCCTGACGAGAAGGATCCCCCGTGTCCTTCATCAAACCAGATTGCCGTCAAAATCAACAAGTTGCTCTTCTTCCCCTGTTGGGAGAGCTCAGGTTTCGGAGGCGGCCTCCTGGGCCTTGGCGGCAGCCTTAGCCCTGTGACGCTCCTCCTCCTCGGGCGTCAGGGTCTTGAGCTGGAGGGCGTGGATGCCGTTCTCCTGGCCGAGCTCCTCGCGGAGGAGCGCGTAGACCATGCGGTGGCGGGCGGGTTGCATCTTGGTCTTAAAGGCGTCGGACACGATGACTAGCCTGGGAATTTCGTCTGATGTTAGCCGCACGCCGCATGATATTTGCAGTAGGGGTCCAATATGCAACTACTTGGTAAAGGGGGGGAGGGGGGGAGGAAGGGTTCGCTCCTACCTGAAGTGGGTTTCCTTGGATGTGTTCCCCACCATGGCCTTGTGGTGGGAGTGGAGGTGGGAGTCGTTGTGAATCTCAAGAGTGGCAGGGGAGAAAGCTGCGGTGAGCTGGGAGGTGTGCAAGGTTAGTCTTAGGGGGGGGGGGGACCCCGCTAGCTCGAGACAAGAGTTGGGTGTTTGGGTCGTGCCGTCCGTACCTTGGAGCGGATCGCGTCTTCCAACGGTGTGGTAGACGACATGGTGGATAGAGGCCTCGCGGCGCTGGAGAAACCGAGGGCGTACCTTCGCAACATTGAGGTTGGGATATGGGCCGGCGTGGTGATGGCGGCAGCGGCGACGGCGAGTCTGCTGGCCGAGTTGTTGAGGACGGCGACGGCGGGGACGGTCTGGGAGACGGAGGAGGTAGCGGCGGTGGCGATAGCGGTAGCAGATCGTACAGTCCGTCCCAGCAGAGGAGTGAGGAAGAAACTCATAAGGATAATGGCAGAAGGAGGATGGAAGGGAAAGAAGAAGGGGGGAGGAAGAGGAGGGGGATGGGATGCGTAGGCAAGGTACGCGAAGAAGAAATATCGAGCACGAGTAGCCAGGTCCAGGTTTCTTGCGCAGCGTGCAAAGGACTAGGAGCTGTGTGTCGGCCTGACAGGAGATCCCAAGCAAGCGATCCCGCCCTTTCAGAGCTGGAAACGACGGGGTTTACTGGGACGGCAGAGAATTTGCAAGGACGGGTTGACACCGAAAGTTCGGTGTAGGTGTTGACCGCTGAATGTCGGGGTCGCAGCATGGCGCACAAGGTGCAGCTGGTGCCTTGAACGAGGTCCAATCAGCGGGGAAGCACGCGCGCGTTGTCCCTTCCGGTCGGTAGCTGGTGGGGTGCTGGTCCACACGTCATTCCCAGCGTTGTGAGCTCCGATGCCGCCGGTTGGACAACACACCCCTGGTGGGCCTGGTGGAGGGTGGGCTCCTTATTTGCTCCACGGCCGCAGTGTGCCAGGCAATGCAGGGCTTGTCAGGGCCCGGGGGCGGAAGGGGCTTCAGTGTGTGTGTATCGTTGAGCTGGGTCGTGCCAGCGGCAGGCGGGCGGGGGCCTGTGAGTTGGTTCACTTTAGCGGTCTGCGTCCCGGGGAGCTTGCCCGGGCGGTCACTGTTCTGCCGCCGCACCTGCAGATGGGGCTCGAGCTCTCCTGCCTGGGGCGGGAGGTTATCAATTCGGATCACCATGCTGTGCACGAGGTAGGTACCTTGGGCGAGCTTCTGTACGGTGCTCTCTTGCTGCCCATCTCTCCTCTGGCCTGTTTACCCCTTCTGCATCTGCTGCCCCTCCACCTCGTTCACCAGCTCCAGCTCAGCACCAATTCCAGCTCCTCCAGACGTCGCTTTGCCCTCGGCTTTCAATTGTATAGTCCTAATGGCAAAGCGAGGAGCCGACTCGCCCGCCGCCGTCCCACCTCGTCGATGCAGCTCAATGCCCGAATAGGGATTCTTCTATCCACTCCTCCCCTGCTGTGATACACTTCCATGCGAATTGGAATTGCATGCTCCATCCCGCGGTCACCCCCGCCATGTTCTCGTCATCAACCTGGACGCATGTCGCGCGGCGGCAATGTCGTCGGTTTCTTCTCTCGTCCCCTCCTTCCTGTATAACACCGTTGCCACCCGTCGCCTCTCCACGACGATCAGTCCGAATGGCCTCCACCCTGCCGAAACTCCCCATATTTGAGGCCATCGCAAGTCACGACCCCCATTCAACAGCTGTCATCCACTCATTGTCTGGGAGGAGGTTTCAATACGGCGAGCTCTTGGGAGATGTTCGCAGAACACGCGATGAACTACAGGCCGCAGCCGGGAAGCCGGCGCTGGATGGCGAGCGCATTGCTTTCCTTGTAGAGAATAGCTATGACTACGTAGGTAAGATTGCGCAGAACAAGACAAGTACTCTGCGACGATCAAAGACTGACCATGGCGCATTTCCCAGTGACCCTGCTCGCCGCTCTCGCCACTCGATCGATAGCCGTACCTCTCTCGCCAGCTTTCCCTGCGGCCGAGCTCCAGTATATCCTCAACCAGAGCGAGGCCTCGCTACTCGTATCATCGCCCAAGTTTTCTGCCAAAGCGCGCGATGTGCTCGCCACCGAACTGGCGTCAAAACCAGCGCAACTCGAACTGCAAAAGCACATGGGAGGCGCTGCACATGAGACAGTCCAGCTCGAAGGCTCCGACCCCGGCGATGCTGGCATGATGCTATATACTTCTGGCACGACAAATAGACCAGTATGGAAACCTACAGACCCATCTCCTGTCTCGCCAGGCTAACAAGCCGTAGAAAGGTGTTTTGCTTCCCCAGTCTGTCCTGACAGCGCAATCGAAGTCTCTTATCGAGGCCTGGGAGTACACCCCCCTGGATCACCTGCTTCACGTCCTCCCTCTCCACCACATCCACGGCACCATTAACGCTCTCCTGACGCCCCTCTTTGCCGGCAGCACCATCGAGTTTCTCTTCCCCTTCAACCCTGATGCTGTCTGGAACCGGCTCGCCGCGCCCTTTACGAATGCTTCCACGTCCCCCGCGAAGGAAAAGGTTACTTTCTTCACTGTTGTGCCCACCGTCTACTCCCGCCTCCTTGCCTCCCACAAGTCTCTCCCCGAAGCTTTCGTCGAGCCCACCCGCGAAGCCGTCTCCCCACAGAACATGCGCCTTGCCATATCCGGCTCCGCCGCCCTGCCGACCCCGGTCAAGGAGGCCTGGCGCCGCCTTTCGCGCGGCAACGTCTTACTCGAGCGTTACGGCATGACTGAGGTCGGCATGGCCCTCTCCTGTGGCCTCGCCCCCGTTGACCGCGTCGACGCCTCCGTTGGCTGGCCGCTCCCCTCTGTCGAGGCCCGCCTCGTGGACACCGACACGGGCGCCGTGATTCCCGAGGGCGACCGCGTCGATGCCGAGGGCCGCGAACGCGCCGGCGAAATCCAGCTGCGCGGACCGACCATTTTCAAGGAATATTGGCGCAACCCTACCGCCACCGCCAAGGAGTTCGTCACCGACCCCGACGGCCGCGGGCCCTGGTTCAAGACGGGCGATGTCGCCGTGCGACGGGCCGTCGAGGGCGCCGGCGGCGGCGCCGCGGACCAGCCCTGGGCAAAGGGGGACATGTACTTTATTCAGGGCCGTCAGAGTGCCGACATCATCAAGACGGGCGGCGAGAAGGTTAGCGCTCTCGAAGTCGAGCGTGAGCTGCTGACGCTGGACGTGGTTGCGGAGGCGGCTGTGGTCGCCGTCCCTTCTGGCAAGTGGGGGCAAAAAGTCGGCGCTGTCGTCATCCTTGACAACGAGGCGCTGCCCGAGGGCAAGACGTGGTCGCCTATGGACATGAGACGGGCGTTGCGGGGACGACTGGCGAACTACAAGATCCCGCAGGTCCTGAAGGTTGTGGACCACATTCCCAGAAATGCCATGGGAAAAATCAACAAGAAGGAACTGGTCAAGGAGGTGTTTGCAGACCAGTTCAGCGACAATGAGGTGTAAAAAAACTGGTGTAGGCCACTCTTGTATTAGCATGTAACATGATGTACCAAACCTATAGACATTGCTGTTGTTTTAATGACTCCTCTAAAGCCGCAAGGTTACAGACGCAATTGTGACCGATCTAAGTATCTATTGGGATCTCCACTGCCTATGTACTATCGATCGTGGCCATCTACCAAAGCTGAAAAGCTATCTGGTCCAGGGCAACGCCTTGAGCAAGTACAAGGCAGATCATGCCGAGAGGTGATGGATGTCTCACCCCCGAATCTGCCCTTGATTAAGACCCCATGCCGAGGGGGAACGCCATGCCCTCCAATAACTCATCCCGCCCCAAACGACACAGAGTTTTCTTCTTTGCGAATGGCTCTGCAAGGTTCCGCATCCTATCGTGCGGCGACGAGCGGACAAAAGCCTTGCGAGACAAAGACAATGATCAGATTTCGATGACGGGTATGAGAAGAATGCCCCCCAGTCCGCGTCGCAATACTGCAAAAACTTTAATTTCTTACGCTGCCTGCGGCAGCCTCTTTAGACGGTGTGCTTGGCCTTGGCACGACTGCTACCACTGTGTGCAGAGTCGGTGTGACCAGAGAACTCGACGGCCTCGTTAGCGGGGAGGTCAAGCAGCTGCTTGAACTTGGTGCCAATCTCGAGGAGGACCTTCTTGCCCTTCTCGGGGGTGCGGCCCTTGCCGCCGGCCACATCACCGTCGCCACGGCCTGGAATGCTCTTTCCTATGGTGCGAGTCCAGACGCCGACACGGAAGAAGGCCTTGCGAACGTTGACGACGACACCCATGACCTCGCCATCCTCCTCATCCTCCAGGGTTTCGCCGATGGCAGCGAGCATGACATGGAGCCACAGGTCGTCAATGGCGACGTTGCGCTTCTCCTTGAACTGGTAGGACCACTTTCCGCCGTGCTTGTTCTGAGCGTCCTCCCACTCGGGACGGACGCCAGCCTTGAAGAGGTGGTAGTCAGACTTCAGGGCCAGCTCGGAGACGGGCGCAATGTTGTTCTGCAAGAGGTTAGACATGGTTGGCTGGCCGTGGCCGTGTCAAAAGTATTGCGTACATAGATGCCCCAGAACTCCTCCACGGAATCAAAGGTAATGACCTCCTTGAGCAAATCGTTCCAGTTGTCGCCCTGCATGATGTGGTCAGCATATCAACGGCCATGATAAGGATTGATGGAAAGCGACAAACCTTGCCGCTGGGTGGCTTGGTGAACCAGAGAGTCCACTTGTTCTGGAGGGGGTGCTTGACGTTAAAGTTCTCCTTGTCATGGAAGACAGTCTTAACATCGTCGCTGGAGCTGGTGGCGCCAGTTTCGGGCTGGTCACCGCCAGGAGAGACAGGAATAGTGGTCAGGTCGACCTGTTCGTTGGCCGTGGGGTTCTCGACAACAGCCATCTTGGGCAGTTTGTGTGTGATGTCGGTAGAGGGGTGGGATGGGTGCGCGGGCGCCAGATGCTGTCGATACACCTTAGGGAGGTGGTTTGTCAGATGAACAAGACAGTTTGGATGCGATGCAGACGGGATCGAAAGTCGAACGGCGGGCCAAGGGATCAGGCAGGTCGTCGGGGTAAGACTTGCGGTTCGTGCGAAGCCTCGAGGAAGTGTCGGTGGGGTACACCAGGGGGTCGTGAGGTGACGTGGAGGAAAGACAGCTGATTCGTTGCTTCCTTATTCGTGAGGTATCCGATAATGCACCAGGCAGTCGGAGTACAGGGCCTTGATGGAGAAGGGGGCGAGTTGAGGTAGTTGCGATGACGAGGTTGGGATTGGGGTTTACCGTTTGCGCAGGATGCTGCTTCTCGTCGAGTGGTCGCGAAAAAAAGTGCCCAAGCGGCACGGTGCGGCCAGCCCATGGCCCGCGCACACAGGTGCCCACGACAAGTTGCTTATGTCATGCAGTGGAACCTCGTGGGCTACCTGTACAGCCCTGGACATCACTTGTTGGAGATGGATCTGGGGTCGTGGTAATTTCTCCGACAACTCCACCATAACCTTGATATACAGTTTTGCATCCCTCCAAGTGCATCGCTAAGAATGTGTTTACTACATGAATCAACAGCTTGTCTGTGAGGAAGTTTTGCATGGGGCTTCTCTCTTGCCCCGCAGTCATGCCCGCCTCCGATGGTACCTTCAAACCGGCCTTGATTGACTTGTGCTTTTATGAAATTCGGGGGTCTGAGTCTTGTCTGTCAAGCCCAAATTGTGAACCTCGTGATGAACGACATACCATGGTACATAGAAGACTCTATGATCGTGGAATCTACAAGGCTTGAGGAATTAGCCACCAAGAGATGCATCATCATCGCCTTTGTTCGCTGCCTTAGACTCATCCTTAGACTCATCCTTGAACTATCGATCTCCCTTTTCGTGTGGAATTCTTAGATGAAAGAACGTGGTTACTCGGGCCCAGTCCGGCCAAATAGCACTCGTGGGAACAAGGAGAACCGTCTTAGGTGCAATGTGAACCTCACTCAGGACAAAGACTCGGGCAACGCTTCCGCGCAGCCATCGTCCACGAACAGTACACTGCAAATTATATGCTGCCAGAGGTCGAGGTGAAATCTCATAATTAGAAGACCCCCAAGTCAAATTGTGACAGCCCTATCTGTCTTGAATCATCAATCTGAGTGCGATTTGCCATCAACGACAGAGTTCGCTTCCTACACAATAAGCATCGGCCAGCACGGCAGCAACCAAGAAGAAGCTCAGTATCAAGATGAGCAACCGGGACCGCGATATCTCGGGGCAGACTTCCCAGTCTGTGTCCGGTGGTCGGAACGGGAACCTCAAGCCTCTGTCATCGGATCGATCTCGCTATACAAATCGAGCCCCTGACATCAACAATCTCCATGGCTTTCGCATTGAACGTCGAGACTTGAAATGGGACATGCCTACGGATAGCTTGGATGATTTCTTCTTCGAGGATCAATACCTGCTCATGCTCCAGCAAATCTATGCCCTCATGGAAACAACGCTGGTTCTCGGTCCAAGACGCATGCCACACGAGGTCTCGCCCTGGTCGATACCGACAGCTGATCAGGGCGACGTGACGTTGGAGCAGTACACGTCCTTAGTAGCTCAGCCAGACCCGTTATTCAAGTATCCATGGGATACACTACTCATATTCAAGAGGGAAACACAGCACTTCTTGACAGCAGTGATGAACAAGATGCTACATGAAATGACTTTCAAGTCGCTCCTATTCGGCGCTAGTAAGGAGCAGATGAAAATCCTGACCGAACAGGACGACACACTTGTCAACGAAGAAGGTACTACATGTCATGTCTTGAAGCGGGAGAACAGTATTAATCAGTCTCGCAGGATTCGGACGAACAAGGTTGCGAGCCGAGTATATCAATATGTTTTTGAAAGGCCGAGCACCCCCACTGTTCTGGGAGCAGGTCGACGAGACGGCCATTGGCATCACGAGGGCGTTTCTACCGGTCATCGCCTGGATAAGGAAGACAAGGATCGACGAGGTACCCCCCATAGGCGAGATTCACCAGCAGATCCACGGCATAGTAGCGTTCACAGCGTGGCTTGCTGTGTGCAATCGCCGGTCTGTGTCCATCATCGAATTTGAATGGCCGACGCCAGGGGAGTGCGATCTTCCATCAAGCAATACGGAAAACTTTGACGAGTGGGTTTACCGAAAGGGGCTGGAGAGGGTTGAACAGTATTGCCGCAAAAGGGGTTCCCATAAGCCCCGTCGTGCGAGAGTCATGATCGCCATCGCACCATCAGCGTGGCGGTACACAGTAGCTTCAGACGGATACTGGAAGGTGCGACTCCAACAGAAGCGAGCTGTGTACTACCATGGACTCCAGGATGACATGGACGAGAACAAGGAGCACAGAATTACCTTATCGAAGTGGGCAGCCATGCAAAGGGCGAAGGCTGAGGGGGGGGTGAGGTCGCTTGCGGGGCAGTTTTGGCGATACCTGGGGGCCATGCTTGTAGCACTGCTTCTGGCGTGGGCTATTGTGCATCGCGGGGACCCTGTGCAGGCACTATGGTGACTGTCGAAGAGCGTGGCGATTGACGGAGGCGCGGCTTCTCCATAGATTTAGGCCTCCGATACCCAGAAGATGCGGCGCGCGCGGTATTGGTACCTGCAGCACCTATGTTATGTACCTTAAGTAGGTAGTCGGCTCAAGATGCGGCGATTCATGGAATCGGTGAGTCCGGGCCTCGGTGAAGGAAGAAAGAATCTGAGCGTGGGGCAGCGATAAGATAGGCGAGGGTTGGGGGCGGCGGGCAACTGCCAACCAATGGCGGTCTAGCACGGCAGAGGGTTCGCACTGGAATCGCACTTCTGAGCCCCGCGCATGGCAAAAAGTTCTGAGCGCTCTGGCCACCCGGCAACACCCCCGAGCACCAAATTCTCACTTTTTTTTTCTGGTCCACCCCAGCCGCCGACCAAAAAATTCAAAAGGGCCCATCCGACCGTCGTCTACTTCTACGCCTGTCTCTAGACCCCGCGCGCCGCCTCACCTTTACAACATCTCACCTCCCCATCCTCCCCCCCCATCACACATCTATCATCATGGCTGACGAAGTCTACGACGGTGCCATTGGCATCGATCTTGGTACGTATCTGTGATACTATGCTGCGCTGTTTCGTCTTTGTTGCATTTCCTGCATACAGGCGCCCACCGCCTCACGCTCGGCCTCGAATTGTTTACGCAGTTGACGTGCCAATTCCTGGCCAACAGAACAACCACGAGCGTCCAGTTCCAACAAGAGCCATCGCTGACCATCGCCCTTTTAGGTACCACCTACTCTTGCGTTGCTACGTACGAGGGTACCAATGTCGAGATCATCGCCAACGAGCAGGGTTCGTTCACCACGCCCTCGTTCGTCTCCTTCACCGACAAGGAGCGCCTGATCGGTGAGGCTGCCAAGAACCAGGCTGCCATGAACCCCACGAACACCGTCTTCGATGTCAAGTGAGTGCTGTTCTCCCGCTTTTCAAGATCCCTCGGTGAAACATGGTTGCTGACCTCCTTGCCACAGGCGTCTCATCGGTCGCCGCTTCGACGACCCCGATGTCAAGAAGGACACCGACACCTGGCCCTTCAAGGTCATCGATGACAACGGTTCCCCCAAGGTCGAGGTCCAGTACCTCGGCGAGACCAAGTCTTTCTCCCCCCAGGAGATCTCCTCCATGGTCCTCACCAAGGTCAGTCTCACCTGTGTGCCAAAAACGGCCCAACAAAAAGCCAGAATGAAAATTTGCTAACAACCTCCCAGATGAAGGAGATTGCTGAGGTCAAGCTCGGCAAGAAGGTTGAGAAGGCCGTCATCACCGTCCCCGCCTACTTCAACGACAACCAGCGTCAGGCCACCAAGGATGCCGGTGCCATCGCTGGTCTCAACGTTCTCCGTATCATCAACGAGCCCACCGCTGCCGCCATCGCCTACGGTCTCGGCGCTGGCAAGTCCAACAAGGAGCGCAACGTTCTCATCTACGATCTCGGTGGTGGTACTTTCGATGTCTCCCTCCTGAACATCCAGGGTGGTGTCTTCACCGTCAAGGCCACTTCCGGTAACACCCATCTTGGTGGCCAGGACTTCGACACCAGCCTCCTCGAGCACTGCAAGAAGGACTTCCAGCGCAAGTCGAAGAAGGATATCTCCAACGACCCCCGTGCCCTGCGTCGTCTCCGCACTGCTTGCGAGCGTGCCAAGCGTACCCTGTCCAGCGGTGCCCAGGCCACCATTGAGATTGACTCCCTCTTCGACGGCGAGGACTTCCAGATGCAGATCACTCGTGCCCGTTTCGAGGAGCTCAACGCCAAGGCCTTCAACGGCACCCTCGAGCCCGTCGCCCAGGTCCTGAAGGATGCCAACCTCCAGAAGAGCGCCGTTGAGGAGATTGTCCTCGTCGGTGGTTCCACTCGTATTCCCCGTATCCAGAAGCTCCTGTCCGAGTTCTTCGACGGCAAGAAGCTCGAGAAGAGCATCAACCCCGACGAGGCTGTTGCCTACGGTGCCGCCGTCCAGGCCGGTATCCTCTCCGGCAAGGCTACCTCCGCCGAGACCGCCGACCTCCTGCTTCTCGACGTCTGCCCCCTGTCCCTCGGTGTCGCCATGGAGGGTAACATCTTCGCCCCCGTCGTTCCTCGCGGCAACACTGTTCCGTGTATCAAGAAGAGGACCTTCACCACTGTTGCCGACAACCAACAAACGTATGTCGCTTATTCTTCTTGCCAAATCCCGAACGTCAGTCCAGATTTACTCACATTTTCACAGCGTCCAGTTCCCCGTCTACCAGGGTGAGCGTGTCAACTGCGAGGACAACACCTCGCTGGGTGAATTCACTCTGGCTCCCATCCCCCCCATGCGCGCCGGTGAGGCCGTCCTCGAGTGTGTCTTCGAGGTTGACGTCAACGGTATCCTCAAGGTCACCGCCACCGAGAAGACCTCCGGCCGTAGCGCCAACATCACCATCTCCAACTCTGTCGGCAAGCTCTCTTCTCACGAGATTGAGAACATGATCAACGGTCAGCCCAATTCCCTCACATGAGCACTGGACAGCAGCTAATTCGCTACACAGACGCCGAGAAGTTCAAGTCCAGCGACGAGGCCTTCTCCAAGAAGTTCGAGGCCAAGCAGCAGCTCGAGTCCTACATTGGTCGCGTTGAGGAGATCATCTCTGACCCGACACTGTCCCTCAAGCTCAAGCGCGGCCAGAAGGACAAGATTGAGCAGCAGGTCAGCGAGGCCATGGCCAAGCTTGAGATCACCGACGCCTCGGCTGAGGACCTCAAGAAGCAGGAGCTCGCTCTTAAGCGTCTCGTCACCAAGGCCATGTCTTCACGGTAAAGGGAGACTTTTTCACTTGCAGCAGATGGTCAGCCTTGGGTTGGAGCTGGGGGCGGTAGAGCAAAATCTGGTGTGATGGAGTACGCGCGCGCAACCAACCGGATATTCGGGAGCGAGCGGGCCATTTAGAAGATGGTTGCGTCGCCAAATAATGCTGCGACGTTTCAGTAGTCTTTTAACGATGGCTCTCTAAAACCTTTTACTCTTTATTCTATGCCTGCTGTTTTTTTGTGTCCCGTCTTCACACTGATGGCGTTCTGTTCGATGCCTTGCATTCTGGACAGGTAAACAGTCTGCTTCGTACAGTTTATTATATAACGGAAGCCTCAAGCGAGGATACACGTGAAAAGTTGCGATCTGCCAACGCTTGAGTGACAACGAAGAAGATGGCGAAGCCTTGACATCTCGCCCCGAACTGTCTCAGCAAGCTGCCAGAAACGCTCCCATTGTTAGGTCCTCCGTGGCACTTTGCTAGGCAACAACCATCCATGGAAACAGTGAACAATGCTCGTACTTTACACTCTTGCACTACTTAGGTATATTGGACACCAGTGAATGATCGACGACGAAGCTCCTGCCACACTCGATGCCTCGCCCACAACGGAAGGAAATCCATTCCCCATCTACTACCCAACCGCGTACCTCACCACTACACACTCACTACCTATAATCCCATACTTCAAGCCCCAACCACGACAATTTCCCAGCACTGCATCGACGGCCTCCTCTTTATCCCACAGTTATCGGAATATCCCAATATCGTCGACTTCGCAGCGATCGCGGCGTTTCGACGATATAACGTGTACTTCTCATGACAAAAAGTTATACCGTTTGCCCTTACCCTACGAACCGGAACCGGTCGAGAGACCAGCAATTTATTAAGCTGTTCTACAGAGCACTTAGTAAAGGCCGTTTAACCTACTACGGATACTACCGCGCTTTACAACTATACGGCAGTGAAGAGGGCATCGCCAAGGAGGCCTCGAAGACAAATACGCTCTTTGAGGAGTGGTGTAAGAAGCACGAGGGTCGTATTGACGAATTCCGATCAAAGGCTCGCCAAGAAGGATTCCCCGATCCTCGCTACGGCGATTTAAAGCACATTATCTATACGAATTCCTCCAGTGTTTCTAGGGCGGTTCCAGAGGACGAAGCCAAAGACCTCATGGAAAATTTTGGGCAACCACCTTGGATTACTGACGAAGCTGGCCACCCAGCCAAGACCTGGAACCCTGATAATGAGGAGTGGCTTGAGTTCATCGTTGAGGGAGAAGGTACTGCTAGTACTACGAATATTACCGACCTTGTTGAGGGAGAGGAAGCCGACTCAAGCCCTGAACCTTTAGAGAAGCCACCTACTGCGCAGCTTCGGGAATTTTTCATGGCTCCAACACAAGATAAGTCGACTAGCCGTAATACTGGCGGTCAATTCACTACTGGCTTGTCGGGCACTTAGGGCAGTAAGTCGAATACGGCTCGCTATGTACCGGCGAAGAGCTCCCCTCTGGACCCGGCGAATAATCCCGCCAACAGTAACAATCAAATCATTATCGACGGTCTTCCAACTCCTATGCCCCCACCCAAAGGCAAGTCTTCCAGTTCAATGTCATTGAAGGAAATCAGCGGCAGCAGTGTGGCCAGCGGTGTCCGCACCGCTATACGCCAAGTTGAGAAACACGTTGGTACGATTCGAAATGCCGTCGAGTATACAAAGGCGTTGCTGGAATTGCTGGCAGTATCAATGCAGGCCGCAGCTCCGTTGATGAAGAAGCAGAGGTTTACAACTCATTCCTCGTGGCCCAGAGCACCGACGGTCTCCCACGTCTCCAAGACGACCTCCAGCAAGTCCTTGACTTCCTTAATGACCTCGACAAAAAGCAGAAGAACGATTCTTCAGATCAGGACGAACCTTCGAAACTCAACCCTGCAGAGCTCATGAAACACATCGGGGATATGGCCATGAAACTCGAAAAAAGGAAACGAGAAGGAGAAATCTTAACCCTGGCGTTGCAACCGCATCTCTTCTAACCGCTGGTAATACAGATATGATTCTGACATTGTACCCTTTTATGTACATAGCCCAGAGAAGTACATACTAACTGAAAGTATCTTTTGGATGAATGAACTAAAATCATAATCACAGAATAACATCCTGTGATTGCGATCTGCTATGTGTTGGTATGCACGCATTCATGCCCTGTACAACACAGGAATCCCACATCATCATCACATGCCACTGCTCGCTCTGTTGTCTTTTCATAATGATAATATCTTCTATGCTATCATGGTTCCGGAAAGTTTTAGTGTGTTCTTAGTATAGCGAATTGAAGATCTTTGCATGGCCTGACCTTCCTTATTCTCTCCATCGGCTTCGGCTTAGGCAAAGCTAGGTAGGTAGACATGCTCGATGAAGACATCTGGATTTGGTCACCTCCTCCATTCTGGTCCTTCCATTCCACAGTCCTACTGAATACTGAATCGGGAAGTTGCTATATTTATTTTCAGGCCGCTGCACCCCAGACTTCGGCACTTGCGTTCCACATTCCGATATCCCTCTACATTCCTCACCCAGATCACCCCGATCGATTCATCAATCTGCATCGCCCACAAAACAGCATCGTTAGAACCACCTGTCGCAGGGCGCAATTGTTCTCAAACACCTTAGACGGCACAAAGTCACAGCCATGGCTCCCAACCTCCGCATCATGGGTGCCCGTCTGCTGACTCTCTTCCTCGGCGCCTTCCTACTCGCCAGTATCGTCTCAGCTCACGGCGCTCACGAGGCCGAAGAGCTCGCCGAGCTGGAGAAGTATAGTCTCACTCACGCCACCAACCTGGCTCATTGTCGTGACACCCTCCAGCGGGATGGTGTTCTTGCCCGGGCCATCGAGCGCCGCGCCGCCGTCGTCGAAACCCACATGCGCCGTCGGGACATTATTAGCGTCCTTCGCAAGGATCATGAGAACAACACAGTCAACTGGAAGTCTACTGATCGCGAAATCTTTGCGACGCGCGATGATGGATGCGTGCTCACGCCCGAGTCTACTGAGGGTCCTTTCTGTGAGTGCCTGCCTGGTCCCCCGTTTCGTGGCCATTGCTGACAAGAGTAGATATTGAGGGCGAAAAGCTGCGTTGGAACCTGCAAGACGGGGAGCAGGGCGTTCTGATGTACCTGGACTTTCAGATCATCGATACCGAGACATGCAAGCCTGTCGAGGGACAGTATGTCGAGATTTGGCGTAAGTGGCCCGGTTCTTTGCATATCATGTGCTCCGTCGCGCCCTCTGAGCTGCTGCTATGCCGCTGCTTATATTCGGTTCCTCTCACCAATAACACTACCTCTCGACCCGGTAGTGTTATCTTTCAATTCACCGAAGTTACCTGGAGCGCCGGATTCTGAGGTTCATATTGACTAATGTCCCATCAGACACGAACGCTACGGGCATCTACTCGGGCGTCCCCTACTCCTTCGACCCATCGAACCGCAAGACCACATTCGGCCGCGGCATCTCGACGACAAACTCCGACGGCGCCGTATGGTTCGGATCCATCTTTCCCGGCCACTACGGCGGCCGCACGCCGCACGTTCACATCATGACACACAACGCGGACTACGCCGACCCCCTGACGAACCGCACCCTCCAGAACAACGTCGCCACCCACGCCGGCCAGGTCTATTTTGACCAGCGTCTCGTCGACGCTGTCCGCAACGTCTATCCTTACAGCGCCAACGAGCAACGTTTCACGACCAACTTTGCCGACGGCTTCTTCCGCCAGGCGTCCTCGGTCTCAGACCCGGTGCTCAGCTACTTCTTCCTCAATAAGGCGGAGGAAGGATATGGCAATGTCGAGGGCGGTTTGCTCGCTTGGAAGATCATCGGCGTCAACATGACGCGTGAGCGGGAGATTTCTGTCATGGACACCTTGCATGCCGGTAAGAAGTGATTATGCAAGAGTCTTAGATATGGGAAAGACATGAGCTACCAAGCAAAGGGCTAAAGACTGTATTGCTGAAGACCTTGAGGCAGCTTGACAGACTGAATTCTCCCGAAGCATTCTGGAAATGTCTCTTGGAGTATGGTCCCAGGACGAACTGGCGTTCTGATACGGCTGGTTATGAGTAGCTACCAGGCATGCGTATCATAGAAAAGCACGCTATTATGTGTCTTCGCCTAACAAGTGCCCATCGTTTTAAAGTTCGCCTTACGTGATTTTCTGCCAAAAGGGGGAAATACTTTGACGAGGTGCCAGTCGAATACTAAGGACCGGCTTCTGGCCATTGTCGCGGATGCCCAAAATCAAGGAGCAGAAGGTTGGAAAGTGGTGTAGTAGGGGAGAAGCAAGGAAGGCTGTTCAGTGCAGGTATGTAGAGAAGGATCACAGTCGATCCATGTTCGTCCTCGGCGACAAGGATTGACACCCAGTGACATTTCATGACATATCGGACCCAAGCAAGCGCACGCCATCTATTGTTCATTCATCATTCAAAACCAACACCTCGCTACCCTATGTGCTTATCAACGCAGGAAATGCCCGCTGAACTAAGTACCGTTAGCTGGCTGCAGGTATGTCTTACCTCCGACCACGGTTGTCAACGTGCCATTCGCCTCAAATTTGTTGTCCAAGATGTCGATTCTCACATGAAATCCTCCTGGGCTCGTCTTCTTTGTGCCGGCATCCGGTCCTGTCTGATCCAGGTCTGAATCCCAGTCAATGTTGACCGTCGTAGGTGATGAATACCAAGCGGCTACCCTCTCTAGTCCCGTGAGCACATTTTCCCCGTCGTCCGAGAAGTCGTAATATTCCACCTTGACGCCCTCGATCGGGCCACCAATCTGCTTCCCTGCAAGCGTCACATTCGCCCATCCCGCCGCCCGCCCAAAAAGAGTGTAGGCCCCAGGCCCCGGCAAAAGCCTCCTCGGCGCAGCCACCCCCGGCACATACATGGTGCCCCACGGCACCACATCAGCCGCGACTTCGATCGCCGCTCGCGCCACGGCCGGCCGACTCGTGAGATGCGCCACCATCAGCCGCGCAGTTCGGCCCCCCTGAGCCGTAGACTCATAGCACGGCAGCAGATTATCACCTCCGCAAGCCGGTGACCTTGTCAAGGCCTGCCAGTAGGCAATCCTGGTTCCATCGCCGGACCACTTCGGATCAGCCATGCCGTTCCACTCCGGGTCATTGATGGCGCCTCCGCCGGGGATACCGTCGCCGGCAGCGTTGATCTTCTGCCCCATGTACGTCCCGCGGTCGCCGTGGCGATCGATGAGCCACGGCTGGAAGAAGCGGCGATAGCCGTTGTTGCGCACCGATGCCACGGCGGCGACTGTCACGAGATCCGTCAGCGGCGGAATGCGACGGAGGCCCGCAAGAAACATTTGCCTGCCCGAGCCGCGCGTATCCATGACGACGGTCCACGCTCCGCCGTCGGGCCCGCCCTCAGGCGAAAGGTCGACGGGATCGACGTACTCTGGGTGGCTCGTCAGACGGCGGACGGCGCCGGTGACGAGGTCGGCCGCGAAGACGTCAATGTTTGATGACTCGGAGGGACTGCCGACGTAGGTCACCTCTTTTCCGGAGGCGCTGAAGCCGCGGAGCTCGCCTACGGATATGGCGGAGGCGTTGAGGAGCAGGCGCGAGGGGTCCGTTGGGTGGACGGCGAGCGGCTGCGAGGCTACGGGGTCGTAGAGCAGGTTGACGCTCGTCAGGTCGTAGCGCGGGGCGAGGGGGAGGCCAGAGCTGGGGCTGGGGCTGAAGGCGAGGCGGCCGTAGTAGCAGTACTGGCCGAGAGAACCTGTATCGAAGGAGAAGGCGCTCCAGCCGAGGTGGACATCGTCGGGGTGCAGGCGTAGCTCGCGCATGGAACCGCCGGGCCCCGAATTGTCAGCGGTTGTTTTCCATCGAATGGGTATGATGTGAACCTGATCTGGCGTCAGGTCGTCACCCGTGAACCCGTGAGCTGCCTGGATGATGTTGGCGCCTGCCAGGATTCGTCGTCCATCGCGAAAGGCCTGGGGGTAGTCGAGCTTGGATGTTGCGCCCACGGAGTTGTGGTCGGGTACTCCGCATGTGATGCATCGCCATGAGTCGCCGTTCGCGAAGAGTGTGCCGTCAATCTTGATGATGATGAGCTGCTCGCCTTGGAAGATGCTTGCTGGATCAGGTGCCGCTGGGGCGCCGACAAAATGAACCATGGACAGGACGTGAAGGTTGTCGGGGAGAAAGTTGCCCGATTGAATCTGCGTTGTCCTCCCTATGCAGCCCGTCCGAGCTGGGTTCACTTCTGATGAGCATGATCCTTCGCGATTGTCAGGTGCCACAGGTGGCAACGGGAGTTCAATGACGGTAATGGGTTCTGGCGCAGGCGGTGGTGGTATATGGCCTTGTAGTAGCGGCGGGCTGGTCGGAGGCTTCTGATGGACTTGGGGCAGGCCAAAGAGGCAGTTGAATAGAGCCCATAGATACAGCAGAAGGGATTCCATGGCGAACTTGTCGGGATGCCTGACGTGGAGTTGAAGGGTGGTCGGCGGCTCACAGGTGGTGCGCGAAGGGTCGTTCAAGTAACCCCTCCTGCAAGGTGCCGTAGATCACTTTGCATCTCACGGGATGAGGAACACGCCATAGCTCGGCGTTCTCCAGCCTGACGGCGATGCCGGGTGCTGTCTCATGCTACATGATCGATTGTCGAATAGGTAGTCGAGGGTGGACGCGTGATGTGTGATGCGAGATGCGAGATGCGAAGTTGCGAGGCATTCGGGTTCGCATCGTATTTGTCGTATTCGGCAAGTGCATGGGTCCGGCTCTTTCTCCCTCTTCGTTCTTGCTAGGCTTGGACATGTGTGCGCTCTGTACCAAACCTTTTGTTTGACAAGCTTTTTCGGTCCTTGTCTTTATCTGTCCCTGCCTGGCAATCAAGTTGGGAGTGGGTTCGCCGACGTTGGGCTGGCATGGGTTTCCCAGTCAAATGAAGTTTCTCGAGTCAACATCGCTGGCGGCTAATCCGAGCAGGTGCATTCGACGAGGAGGATGACCGTGATGGAGCGCATGCATTTTGGCAGTCATGGATATGGAGAGTTTGGAGTGACCAGAACAATCGTACGAACGCAAACCCTCTGTGTCCTCTTTCCCCGAAATCCCACGTACTCTGTACCTCCTTCTGCCTTCTGCCTACTTTTTACCCAATTAACTGAAAACGCTTTCTTCGATTATTTTCACCCACTCTTCCTACCTCATCCTTCCACACAGCACCTACCACTGCCATGTCCCGCCTGTGCACCGATAATACCAGACGACAGCGAAAGCTCGTACTGCGCTTCGGCAGAACAGAAATGCCCAACGCTCTACGTGGTCTTCATCGAAAGACGCACCATGACGAACAGAGGAACAATCATCACCTCGGGTCGCGCCATCGAAATTTGGATACGACTGCCACCTTGACTGCGTCCCGTACATCCAGGAGACACATGCCTTCTCGACGACGCCATCTGTTCGATCGCCTCGCTTCTGCCTGTTGACGTCTTAGTTATGACTTTTGGTCCGCTGTTCTTCTTGGACGAGGACCATTGCGCCGTGGAATTGCTATCCGAGGGGCTCGGGTCATCCCTTGTGTCTTGGTGTACTTGTGGCTCGTGATTGCGAAGTACAGACGATGCAGGCAGGACTGGACCGAGGCGGAGGAACGAGGAGCGATGCTCGATCCGAATAACACGTCTTGGTCTGTCTGATTGAGCCATATGCCTGGACGGTGGGCCCTTCGAGGTACACGCCGACTCGGGGTTAGCTTTCACGAATTACGAAGCAACGATGCTCAGGCGGCTGCAGCTACCACACGAAATAGGCTGCTCTGGTTTGATCAGTGGACCAATACCCTCTTGGCGTTCGAAAGGATCTACTCTATACCTGGGGGCAGGCTGGCCAGGGCGTAAGGTCTTGAGGCGAAGTTCTCGCAGACCGTCTTGCCAATGGAACATCTTCTTGCACAGGGTGCCGATTGCCCGACTGATATGGCGCCATGGACTCCCCTCTTTGGGAAGGGTAAGGCATTCTCATGCCAGAAGAGCTCTAATTAACAGGATAACCAACGATGCCGGCTCGTTGTTGGCCCCTGGCTGTCTGCACCCGTTGTGGAACCGGAGGAAGACTGTCTCGTCGTGTGCTGAAATCTGTGGCTAGATGCCTCGTATGCGTCTTTATGATCCCTCGAATCACGCGATGTCGGCGCATGCCATAGAATTCGGATGACGGACGGCATCTTTTACTCATGCCGCTTTTTCCAACCGCAAAAGCTATCAGAGGGAGGGGTGTGAGCCGCGTAAACTTGCACGGCACACCTGGTCCTCCTTGTATCTGTTTCCATCTTGGAAATCTTGATATCGGAAAACCAGGAAGTTTCAGAATGTAGTTGCTTGCCGTCAACGCAATATCAGCAATTGATGGGCCGGGAATGGGTGCAACGGGTTTAAAGCCAAGATGCCGGTGCCCCGGTTGTCCCAAAAAGGCCTGAGCGACCCGGCGCGCAAGCCGGTCGATTGACTCGCGTCTCGGCCAAGTTTGATTCTTGGCCGATGACTACGTCACTTGCTCCGTTTCCGACGTCGGCTGAGGATGGGAAATCAGTCAACACGCTTTGATCATGATGACCATATACTAGTGGACTAAATTCCGAATGACTATGACGATGGCTTCGTCAATCGAAAGCCAGCTTCACAGCTTCATTCCTAAACATGGCGAATCTCCAGACAAGTCGAACGCCAGAATCGACACTACATGATGAGGGAGACGGCCACCAGCTGTCTCCTTCCAGTTCATCATCGTCGTCCGCATCCTCTTCGACCTTTGCTGCCAACGACAGAAATGGTGGTCCCTCGACACGTCGACCTCAACCTCGGCCTCGGCCCCAGCCCTCAGGCTGTACCTCTTCGTTCAACGAAAAGAGCCACCAT